TGGGTCCATCCAAATAGATTTTAGTATAGAAGTACACTTTGCCTGATTGCTATATCCATTGTTGTTGTTGTTGTTGTTGTTGTTGTTGGAAAAAGCTTTGCATCACTGGTTAAAAAAATTAAGATTATAAAATTGCAGCAAACTATTCATCAAATTGCTACTCTGGTAGTTTTCTCTGATGACTCTTACTCTATCAACATAGTAACTTTAATTAAACATATTGCCACGACTGTAAAAAACTCAAGACCATTTAGGACCTTTTTCCTCTTCTTCAGATTGATGTTGTGAAGAGTGCTTGCAAATTTGGTAGTAATGAGTTCATCAGAAAAAAATCCTACTGTATAATCCTTTTTCACATGAAACAGTAAGAAAAGCAAAATTCCCTTCCTTAAAATCATGAGTTTCCTTTTAGACAATGATTTGTGTAAATCCTATAAAACTCCTTTCAAACTATTACAATATGATTACCTTAAAAATATATGTCAGTATGCACAATTTCTGTGTTCTTATTCTAGGAAAAGGGACCGCACAGAAAGGATGGAACAATGGTATGGAAACTTACCATTCTCTCCAATTGGACTCCTTATTACAGACTTATTGCTTCCATGTGTTAAAAACAAATTTAAACCTTTAAGCAAACCCCAGTCCCTAAATTTTTTGGCACTCTTATTAAATATTGAATCCAGAAAAAAAAAAAAGAACTTTTTTTTTAATTATCACAAGTCTATCAGAGTCAAAATGTATTTTATCATTATGGAAATGTGTTAGAAATTAATAATAAAAGTTAGTTTCAACACAATTCAAAAAACATGCTATTTAAAGCTGCTAAAATACCACAAATTACCTGGTCTCAATGTTTAAATAAATAATGTTCATTTTTAATATTTCATTTGAAAAGATATAATATAAATTCATTTGAAGGAATACTGAAATGGATGAGGTTGACACTTTTTTTTCTGCAGAGTAAAAAAATTTTTTAAAGCTGTGATTATATAAAGCTGAGGAATACAAACGTCCTATAAGTTCATTCATATAATTTTCTGAAACAAGGAAATCTTTGCCCAAATTATACGATGAGGTCAATGAATTACCTAAACTCTGTTGTCTTTGTACTTTTCCACAAATTGGGGTGCACAATGGGAATGCATAACTCCCTAAAAGAAGCACATCTCCAAGTTTTGGTGTGTGTGTCAAATGAAAGAAGGAAAAAGTTCCCTCACCCCAAAGTGAGAACAGATGGGAATGTAAAATTAGATGGGAAGAGACAGTGAAGCTTTGGATGACCCACCAAGAAATCTTCCCCTGAGGGGAGCCAAATATACCAGACCTCCGCTTGTTCTGCTTCCCAGTTAACTTCCAAATTAAATCCAATAAGAATGCAGAGCAGTCCTTAGATTCAATGTATTGGTTTTTATTTTTGTAAGCATTTCTATAAATTTTATAAAAAAACTATTGATAAATATAAGTTTAAAAAGTTTATAGTCAGTCAGTATAAAGCAGCTCCTAATCACTTTTGTGAGTATAACATTACTTCAAACTTAGGCTGTTAACAATAAAACTTTTGAAAATAAATGGCTTTATGAAAAAAAAGGCAACAGGCATGAACAAACTCAAGACATGGACACTGAACTCCTTATATGATGAAAGAATTGTCTGCCATAAACTGAAAAATTATATAAATAAAATATAAATATATTTTATATTTATTCTTTTTATATTTTAACTAACTAATCTTAATAGCAATCCTAGCAACACTTCCTATACCTAGCAAAAAAAATTTATTTTATCTGATATCCAATTTTATATAGCATGATATAATTTTTCTAAAACTACCAACTATAACCTTAAAAGAATCCTCTCTATTGTGCTGTGTTTCTCTTCAATATTTTTTATTTTTAATATGGATAATAATTTAGAACCAAAAAAACAAAAATTGGTGCTTTCAGATTTGAATGCATTTAAAAACAGTTTTATTGTTAATAATCATTCCCTTAAAATATTACTAGTTTAAGAACAATTTTGTAAAATTAATTATGAACTTTTAAAGAGCTATCAAGTAACTTCCACAAAATAGTGCTTATGATGATTATTTTGTGCTTGCTCACTTTCACATAAAATTTTCGTTTGTTAATACAATAATTTGAATAACTCAGTATTTTAATAAATAATGCTCAAAACTGCAGATCATTCTCATCCATAATTCCAAACTTCTTTTCCAAGACAATGAAAAGTTCGGTGTACCTTTTCCCTGCAGTCTCAGGAAATTGGCTTTCAATGTCTTAACCCTGTTTTATTTTATTTTTTTAACCTAACTAAGTATACACAGTAAAAGGAAATATAGAAATATGACTTGTTCCAAGTGGTGAAAGCAACTGCACCTCACACTTAAGTGACTTCAGTTTAAACAACCCAAGGCACTGGTATTTGATATGGGCTTTACTTATAACAGGGAATGGGGTCTTTCATAAAGAAGATGTTCAGTATAGTACATTGCATTTAATTGAATATGTGCACGAAATAATTACTGAAAATTAGCTTTTATTATTCAGAGTACTTTAAATTACATGCAATAATTATTACCAAAAAAGAAGAAAATCTCTCAAGGTGTCTAGCTTCCTTTCTTTCTTTTTCAAATTCTCTCTTATCAATACATAAAAACCACAACAGGCAAAATTTAGAGGATACTATGTTGATTATATTTTACTAAAATTTATTTTCCACACTTTCCATTTGTGCAAATAAAATGTGATTTAAGCAAAAACTGTTAACGTTTTCAAATGCATCCCCATATTAATAAATCAGATTCTAATTCCTCAAAATATCAAATGCAGATCCTTCTACATAATTTACAGTATTATCTTAATTCATTTTCTAGTTAGTTGGTTGAATGATTTTAACATGGAAAACAGAGAACATTTTATAATGAATCCAATACTGCTATCTTCCTCTTAGGGGATGGGAGGGGAGGCTTTGAATAAAGAATGCACATGCACGCACACAACAGTTACTCAATATTCCTGTCCAAGTCTCAGATAATCCACCATCTTTTTAAACTTGATAAGTCACAAACACACTGGATGACAAACATTTATCTATAAAAAGAATATGATTGGTTTAGGTCAGGATTTCTCAGATGGCAGAAACCTGAAGATCTGTGGGCATATTATTAGGAGTCAGAGTGTTACAAAGTATTCTTTGATGTCTTCATATTATGATATAAATATAATTATATTCTAGATAGTCTCATTCACAACTTTTAGCCCTTATCTCAATTTCAGAATCTGATTCTGATACAGTGTTTATGATGTTGGTGCTAACTTTTTTTATGGTGACTCTGTTTAACATAATATAATGTTTTTAAACTGGAATTCATAGATGGATTCTTGGGGCCTGAGATACATTTTTCTGTCAGCATGAGTCCGCCTATTACTCAACACCAAGACACACTAGAGGATCTTTCTAATTCCTCCCCGCTTTAAAAAATATGTTATAATCTGTTGCAGCTTACTATTAATTTATGGAGATTATATTTTTAAAACACACTTAGAGAAAGAGAACTTCACAAGAAGAGTTACATATGTTCTACTTGTTTTCCTTTTTACCTTTAAATTAAAGTTTCTGAGATAAAATGGCATTCAGTGGGCAAAACAAACAAGGTTATCAGATAAAAGTTCTATTAGCAACTGTCATTTCAAATGGTTTAATAGACTACATATTAAATAACTAAGAGTCAGAAAATCCCAGTTTCTTTTTCCAGTTTTGCCTCTGACTTCAAACAGTATCTTGGTATTAGAATGATTCATTTTTATAACCCCCATTTTTTATAAAGTTAGTACATTATGCTACTGAATGAAAAAAGTGCACAATACCAGGTACTCATGTTATATAATGATAAGCAGTACGTTTCAAATTTTAATTTATATAATAGGAAAACAACAAATCTAAAAAACTCAATTTGTTTTTCTTAATTTTGTTAGAGACAAAATATATACCATGTAGAAATAACAGTATAATTTTTTTCTAATATAATTATGGATTATTTTGATCTAGTTTTAAAAACATTTATGTTTAAATTTGCTTCATCTAATTTAAAAATATTTAGAGTGTTGTGAATTAGTACTTAAAGATATTTTATAGGTAGAAATCATTGTTTACTGGTTAAAAGTTTAAAAATAAAAACTTATCATTACTCATATATCATAATCTTATATCAAGTTTTTAAACCATATACTCTTAATAGAATTCTTAACTTATATGTATTTTAACAATGGAATCAACATTAGTAAAGAGAAGTAAAATGTTTGCAAACTGCAAAAATGTTCTGAATTTAAAATGCATGTATTTTACATTTAAAATATAGTTATCTAATTTTTAACTTTAAAGGTTAGAGAAATAAAATTCATTTAAGTCATCTTATTCATATTTCCTTAAGTAAAAGTACTCCATAAAGAGGTGTAATTTTTCCTGATATGCGGCATCTTAACTGAACACTTTAAAAAAAGGAATGTTTTTAAACTACTTTTAAAGTGTGACCAATAGTATTAAAAAATCACTAATTAAACTAAAAATTATTGACTTTGAAATTATCTATTGAATTTAAATTACTGACTTCTGATAGAAGTAAAGTGTAGGCTAGAGAATTTAAGATTAATTTTATAATCAGCATATTTCATAATAAGCTTGTTTTATCAAGAGAAATATCACATTCAAATTTTAAAAAGTGGTCTTGCTATCCTAGCAAACTAACTGATATTAGCTTATTAAACTCATTTGTAATTTTCTTCATCCTGTGAAGTAATTTTCAGCTTTTATTATTTTAAGATTTCTTTTCTAGATGATTTAATTAGACCATTAAATAAAGGACAGTGAAGTGGAGTCAAATGAAAAATGTGCATTTCCAAAAAGTACATACTTTTATATATTGCGATAAGTAATTTTTTCTTGGAATACACACATGCAATTGCACAAATGTTAAAATCAGTGCCAAAAAGTTACTCTACCTGAACTGTAGAGCTGATCTCCGACGCAAAGCCCCCAGTCAAAGGAGCCTCGTGACTGATAAGCAGTCGCCCTGTTTTGACCACAGACTGAAAAAGAAAAGGAAAACCTGATGTTAAAGAGAATACATATTTTCAAGTACATGATGGTAGTTTTAATTCAGTAATAAAAATCCTTTAAATTTAATAATGAAAAATTAGTAATTCAATATTATGCAAAATAAGTTACAACTCTCTTTCAACTGGACAGTCATTTCATTTTTGCCCTGTTAAAAAATTTTTCAATATAGTTCATAATCCTAGTACAAAAAAAAATGAGATCTGTAATTCTATGTATGTCATTAAAAATGCATTACATTATGAAATATTTTGTTATAAACCAAATTACTGTATTTCACATTTTCTTGTCAATATCATTTTTCCTCATATTACTTTAAGAGTAAAAGTGCTTTTTCATTCATTTTAAGGTTATTTGCAAATAAATAAAAGTCTTACCAAATACTATTTTTTTGGAGAAGGAAAACACAAAAATAGCACATAAATGTTGTAGCAAAGAAAAAGTTCAAGCTTCTAGATATTCAAGGGGACCTAAAGGAAGAAATTATTGCAAAAGTAAAAGAGAAGTTACAACCCTCTTCGTCCATGTGCATTAAGAGCTGGTTAATGACAACGACTCCATTTTAATGTAGAAAATGTCACAAATAATAAGGATGTATTCTCAATACTGGCTCAGTGTGGTTGTTCACACTGTGCATGATATGCTCTGTACAATAATAAATCAAAAAGTATAGCTATATCATAGCAGGATGCCAGCTCCCACTGGAAGGCAAAAAATATTAAAATCAACAGCAAGTTATAGCTTAAAATACTCTGAACTATTACCATATTACCAAACAGAAGTGGCAATTTCTCCTCTACATTTCTATTAATTTGATATCACCTTCCTTAACTTCTACATTACTATTTTATGAATATGAAATAAAATCTTCCAAGCAAAAAATATATATATAAATTAAAATTCTTCCTTCATTCTAGACAATTAGACTTTAAAATTTTTAAAGTATGCAGCAGTTTAAACCAGCATATGTTATACTCCAAGATATGGCCAGTAGCCATGAGGAAAAATAAGTTACCGTATCTACTAAGTAAATAGTGACTGGAGAACATAAAATTTTATGAACACCTTAATGAATACCATCCCTACCCCCAATGAAATGCTAACTTTGAAATATTGCTATTTGGATTTTATGACTGTGATTAATTATGCCATTTATGACAGTCACAAATTAAATTTCAATGCACCCGGTTAGAAATATAAAGAGACAAAAATATTCCACAATCATGAAAAAACAAATATATTCTCAAAGTATTCTCTAAAAGATGTCCTGACTAAAGGAATTACCAATTGAAAAAACAGATTTGACAATCAGACCCTTCTTACAGCTCTGAATCCCCACATCTTTGCCAACGTAAAAGTGTCTAAGGATGACATTGCTAAAATCTATCCTAGCTAGACATCACAACTTAAATTTCTAAGAAATAGAAATGAGAAACTTCTATAAAAATGCTGGTGTCACCTTAAAACTCCACACGACAGAACTGGTACATTTTAGCTGAGCTGAGCCCTATCCAAGATTAAATGACAACCTTAGAATGATCCTTGATGGCCAACAAGCAACCTAGGCATAAAGCCTAGGCTTCTCAGAGCCTCAACGACGTAGTAGGGAAACTAAGCACAGATGTACCCAGGACAAAAGCTTCCAACCCTTCAAGTTTATGCAACATGATGTGTAAGCTGATGAAATCCAGAGAACCTCTGGCTGTCTTTCAGCAGGGGAAAGGTTAAACAAACCAAGATACATCAATACAGTCAAATATTATGCAGTCATGAAAAAGACTAAGGATATGAAATAGTGCCCATGATAAGTTAATTGATAAAATAAGCAAAGTGAAGAAAAACAGAATCTCATTTTTATGGGGGGAAAAAAAAAAAAAAACCACCACAGCAGTGTGGACAGCAATAAAAATAGCTATATATAGTGAGCCAACATGTGTAAATAGTCTGGAAGGATTCATTCCAAACTATCAAAACGTATTTCTCCTGAAAAATAACAGTGAAGAAACTGTAGAAAAGGGACTTGTTTTTTACTTTATGTAAAAAAGTATTTTTATAGTATTGAAAGTATTCTCAATAAGTTTAAAAAAAAATAAAAATAAAGGAAAAGCATTGAATGCTGAAGGTAACAATGTGGCAGTTATTTTCTCAAAAAAAAAAAAAATGTTTTTATGGTATCTTAGGACTAACTTCAGATGCAAGGGAACTCCGAGGTCCCAAACTCCAGCAGCAAATAGGCATACTAAAAACACAGGGAATCAGCCTTCCCATGCCAGTGTCTGTATGATCTGCTACATATCTGGATCATACCCAGCTCATCTCTTGACCCAAAGGCCCTTGGATTCTAGACAGAGTAAGAAATAAGCTATTGGTATCACAGAAGGTAACATTCTTCAACACCTCTGTATGTGTGTTATGTAAATATTTGTGCTCTCGGAACAGAAGTTATGCACTGACAGTTATGGAAGTAATTCCAGAAGTTTTTAAAACACCAAGTGCTAGAGGGTAGACATAATGAAAAAAAAGTAGGAATGCTGTGAGTTTATGAAAATTGTCCAGGTATACACGCCAGTGGGCGGGGGGAAGGGAGGGAGAAGGAGAGGACGTAGCAAGAAAAGGGGAGTCAGAAATAATGATCATAATCACAAACAACTGACTGTCACAAGAGTTGCTTTGTGCTAGGCTTTGAGCTCAGTGTTTTACATTGAATACTTCAGTTATTTTTGAAAGCACTTAAGTTTCATCTTTGCTTTTTAAAATCAATCTTGTTAAAATGTATAAAAGAAAATTGCATCAAAATCCTAAATAATGCCAAAATTTAGAAGTAACAGATATTTTCAGTCACACTCTCAAATAATTAGCATATATCATTAAGCAATTGAGTCTAAAAGTACAGTTCAACGATTTTGTAAGGTATACTATAAATTCAGCTTTTTAATCATTCTTAATTTTTAATTTACTGAAATTTCTGAAGACAAGATTTATTTTCTAATACTGTTTTAGAAATTATTAATACTATTAATATTATGATAACAAGATTGTTACAAATATACAAAATTGGAGAATGTTATTCTTTCTATGTGATTCAATTAGCTAATCTGATTAAACCACATATATTTGTCAACTTTAACAGACAATTAATGTTCATATATTGAGGCACAATGATATAAAACTGCCAGGAAATTTAACTAGCCAAATTTAGCATTTTGACATACTAAGATAGCAAAAATTAATATGGTGTCTTTCAATGGAGACAGATGTTAACCTTTTTAAAATAACTACAGTTATAAATACTAATAACACTTTAAAATTCATTTTCTTTAGAAGAAACTTGAAGTTTGCTTCTGAGATAAATGTGTTTCACCACTTGAAAAAAATTAAAAAGGTTCAAACAACTTTTCAATGTGAAAGCTGAACTTATCAAAGCCAGGAAAGATCACATATGGCTGGATTTTCCAGTATCTGCTTCTTCAACTTCTTGCCACTCAAACCTGCTTCAGGGCCCTGGCCTGAGGGAGATGGGGAACCAGTGAGTTAGAGGGAACAAATGGCACCAGGGAAAGCTGTGCCAATTAAAGACTAGGACTATGAATAACCGTTCTCTCTGTCCTTTATCACAAAACAAAAGCACTTTCTTTTCTATAGGGACTCCAGAAGATGTGTCAAGAAAACTTTAAAAACAATTCTGAAAGGCTAGGAGTGAAACAGCCTATGGCTGCTAAGTCAGTTAGAACAGGTCTGTCCTAGATTTATCCTTTGGAATCTCGCTCTTTCTCACTATTTCAGTTAGTTGTCCCCTCCTCCAGGGCAACAGCAGCATCCTATTACAAGAGGAGATATCGAAATCTCAGGAAAAAGCTCACAGAATGGCACTGCTAACAACAGACAGATGACCAGACTGCACCCCGAAGTACCTTATTCCCAGTTTTGCCACTTCATGACTATTCTCCATTGTCCATCTTCACCCAGATGTCATTACTAACGGCCATGACTTCGAGTTATCTAGGCAGCATACCTAGCACGATGTTCAGAATATAGTATACACTTAAGAAATTGAATTAGTTAATAATCTATTTTAATAATTTAACTATATTAAGCATGTCCTTGTTTATAACTTATTGAAGCTATTGCTTTCTTGGCAAAATTCATTTTTAAAATAGTGCAAAGGTACACTTCAGCACATCCCAGAATGATTTAAATGTGAAATAACAGACTCTGAATTAAAGATATTTTAATGTTGCTTTAACAATAAGATATCTGTGGTAATGGTAGAGTTGCTAAGTTATACTCCATTAAAATGATTGCACAGATTTTGGCTGCCCAAACACTGGACATATGGTTTAGTGAATGTAGCCTTTAAAGATTTTAACACAATCCAACCAGGAAAACTGTTAAGCTGTCATTCCAGAAGAAAATGATACAGAGGGCAGACCATTAAGCTTGCATCTGTCTGAAAGTGCCAACAATGACATTCAAAAAACCAAAACATATATAGAAAGCAATCAACTTTACCAACACCAAGTTCAGCCACTTTTACTGACTGCTGATAAGTAGAAAAATAACACTTTGGATAAGCACTTCATAGCTCTTTTAACATTTCTAAATATAAGGCCAATGAAAAGCAAAGAAATACCAAAGTTGGCCTTTACCACTTCCTTTTGAAATCAAATCTGCTTATAAATACATGTAAGCAAAAGTAATAGTAAATTTATACCTGTGTTTTATTAAACAAAAACATATCAATATTTATTACACAATTTAGAATCATTAAAGACAATTTTAATTAGCTTCGAATATCATTGCAAATGAATTAAATTTTTGAAATATTTTCTTGTTTAGTAGCCAAATGCATTTGAGAAATTAACCAGAAAAACCTCACAATCACAAGCCAAAAAAAGTATTAACATATGCCTTGGAACTATTATTAATCAGCAATGATCCTTACATACAATCAGACCATGCACTGATATTCCAC